CATATTATATTTTTAAATTTTTACTTTTATTTTACCATTTGAACTAGTTACATTACTTGCTCATTCCCTCATAAAATGGATTATCTTCTTGAAAAAAAGTACAAATTTTTATGCCTTAAATTTATTATATGTAGAAATTAAAGATAAGTTATACATATAAATGATAACGCACAAACAAATAAAATTTCCGTAATTTTTAAATAGTGAAGTGTGATATTCTTTTTGGGACGAAAGCAATATATATATGATGAATTGTATGGAATAATTAGATTTTATCCTACTTTCATCTCATTACAATAAATTTTATTAATTTGAGAGTTAATTTGATTAGTTTCAAACCAATGCACTCAATATTAGTTAATAAAATTAAATGTTAGTGTTAGCATTTTGAAAAGACTCTTTAGCGGCAACCTTTACTGTTATCATTTTCAAATTTGATCTACACCATTACATTTAGGTGTAAAATTAATTATATTTGATTCTATTAAATTTAATTTTCTCTATTTTCAACCAAATATACTCAACAATTTACAAATTTTGCACTCAATTGAATAAAATTCACTTAATTTCACCCAATTTTACTCAATTTTTACCAAATTCTATTCAAATGGAACATAAGACTATTTGAATTTATCTTTTATCCTTTCATTTATATGCATAAGTATATTAGTAGATGTGAGAAATTATTTATATTTCAAAACTAAATTTTAAAATCAATTTAATTATATTAAATTTATATCATAATTAAATATATATGTTTTCATAATTTGTAGTCCAACTTTGTAAAATATGACTAAAAAGTCAAAAGGGGAAAATTAGAAAATAATATATATCCAAAATATATTTGATTCGAAATCGAAATATATCTGAACCGAACTAGACCCGAAACCGAAATATATCCGACTCAAACTATATCCGAACCGAAATCTATCCGAACCGATTTATAACCGAACCGTATCTGAACCGACTCGAAACCGAACCGAACCGAAAAATGTATAGAACCGAAATCAAATCCGAATCGAAATTTAACCGATCCGAACCGAACCGAACCGATTATAACATATAACCGAAAGATATTCGAACCGAAAAAATCCAACCCGAAACTGATCCGGTTGATCCGATTGCCACCTCTACCTAAAATATTACCCACAAATTTGTTGGAAATTAGAATGGAAGAAGAACCCTGCGGAGCAGCGTTAACAAAGAACAAGAAGAACAACTTGATAGAGTATAACGAATTGGTAGAACGCTTTCAGATCGAAGTTATTTCGTGGTATACGGAATGCTTTATTAATCGGATAAGACGTTAATCAAGAACAAGCACTGAAAATTGGATGCCTCAACCATACCTACGAGACTCTATTTATAGAGTCGAAATTCGATGGTCAGACATTAACTTTTGCATAAGATGCGAACGTTCGTGCGAGGAGATGAATGAAGTCAGGAAAAACGCGAATGTTTGCTTAAGGAGACAAATGTTCGTGCAAAAGGATTCGTGCGGTTTTAGGGTTAATTTGGCGCTTATCCACACGTCCAAATTTTTTAATGTTTTGGACTCCGTTCACGAAAAACTGAAGAATTTTCATAAAGAAATAACGTCTAAAATAAAAAAAATTAAGCTCTATGCCCCTTGGACCCCGCTACCCAGGGGCTGCCACCCCCGAACCCCCACTTTGAAATTTGTAATATCGTTGAACGAGTATGCACTCCGCGCATCGTATCTCGTTAGACAACGTCTATTACAATTCTTGTCTGATCTAGGTAAATTCAATTAGATAAAATAATTGATGATGTAGCTGAATTTTTATGTGATATACATATATACATACATATATATCTCCTAAATATCAACGGTGCACTTTTGATGACCTGACAAAATATAAATGTGATAAAAAAATTTTGTACTGACATTTTGTGTCAGTATAATTTATGTGAATCATTAAAGTGTGAGTGTAAAGCTTTAAGTTACAAATTGGTGTGCACCATGTGGTGGACACCTGCTTCTTCGAGATAACATAGTAATCGAAAAAAACTAAACCGACACGCGGTTGAACCTTCTTGTGTGATAAAAAGAAAATGTAAAAAACACCCAAACTAGAGATGTACAGTGCATTTAAAAGTATGGGTTATGGTGGATTGACCCTAACATTTTAATTCCACTATTTAACCTTACTATTACAGATAGCATCGCAGAACTATATCGAATGTATGTAAGAATAAGATTAAAGAGTGAGGTTCAAATGTTGGGATTCAAATATCATTTTTCTAAAAAAATATATTCAATGACGAAATTCACCGATAATAGTGATCAAAAGAATCAAATTCACAACCATTAAGCAATTTGCATTCCACTCACTCGGTCAGCTTTCACGAGAATAATGCCCAAATTAGCTAAAGTGGCTTCGAGTGTGCCAAAATGATCAAAACTTATAAATTAATCAAATTATTTATAAAAAATGGCTAAATATTTTTTTAAATCACTCCATTTAATTATTGCATTTCAAGAGACCCCCAACTAACTTAAATCACATAAAATGATGCTTACTAAGCACTTAAAAATATGTACTCAGGAATAGTTAAATCAATTCATTGAAGTGATGTAGTCAAATAAAATACCTGCAATGCTGAGGACACCCTTGGTCACTCATAGAGTCATACATTTTAAAAAAATACTCCCTCCCTCCTTATATTATTTACCCTTAAAATTTTAAGTTTTTTAAAATCATTTTATTTAAATAAAAAATAAAATTTACATATTTAAAAAATATATTAAAAATTCTACAAAATAAAATATGATAAAAGTATTTAATTCTATCAAACAGTCGATTAAAATACACAAAAAATAAAAGTTCTCATAATATTTGAATAGTAAAATGTGTGAATCATTTAGAGACGGAATGAGTAGAAAAAGAATTATAATACGGAGTAGTAAAAAAAGGAAAAGAATATAGTAAAAAAAGTTACAATAAAGTAAAGAAAGAAATTGTTTAAAAAGGAAATTACATTAAAGGAATCCTCTCCTCATACGAAACCTACCGCACCAACTAAGGGGCCATATCTAAAAAAAAATGTACACTAAACCGGTTCTAACTCGACCCGAACTAACCAACTTTACTGATTTCGACTCCGGTTTTTTCAACTTTTTGACTCTAGCTTTATCCTCACCTCATCCTCCCTAGTTATATCCTAAAATTTCACATTTTTTTCATTTCCCCTAATTCTTGCTACAACAAATTACTACAGATAATAATAACCTAAATATTAACTTTAAAATTTTCAAAAACTCTGAACCGGCTGAACCAAACCGGGATCGGTTTCCGATTCTTTCTTCCGCCGCATCTCCATGACTTTCCGGTGGTTGTTTGAGTGGAGCTGGCTGGAGAAGGTGGGGCTGCACGCCGGACGGTACTCCGGCAGAAGCCGGCCGGACTTGTACCTCACCCCACAGGCGTTGCAGAGGGTCTTCGCTCCGAGCGGACCGGCCCGCCACTGTGGGGTCTTCTGGACGCCGCAGTGGTTGCACCGCCGCGGCTGCAGAGCTCCGGGAGGCGGCGGCGGCGCTTTCTTTCTCTGTTTCTTTGCTGGCGGAATCCCGACCAGCCACTCGGAGGCCCGACCAGGATTCGGGTGTGCAAAATAAGGGTGCGGCGGCGAAGACGACATGGTGGAAGAGGACTCGGTGGAGGACTCGGTCAGCGACTGCGACCCGCTGAGCCAGACCCGGACGCCGGTCCGGGCACGCTTGCTCCTCGCCTTCGTCTGGACCGGAGGCTTTTCCCGGACCGGAATTTCAGTTTGGCGGCGGTTCTTCCATCCCGACGGCGCCGGCGGCAGCTTTCCCGTCAGCGAGTAGCCGGGGAGGGAGTCTTCCTCAAAATGAGACAGCCATTCAAGATTATCCAAATCAGCCGCCTGAAAAACCATTCCTGTTAAAATTCAAACCAAAATTAAGAAACCCTTCCCCGAATTAGACCAGAAATCAGGAACTTACCGGCGAAATTAGGTCGCCGCCGGGGAGACAAGAGAAATCCCCCATGGAAGAAAAGGCAACAGGAGCTATGGGTTCTTCTCGAATTTCCAGCTTCACACCCAGAGCCGAAAAGACTGATTTTTCCAGCGGAATTTCAACCTCTGCTTTCTCCTTCTCTTCGCACTCCTCGGAAAACCCGTTTGACAAGTCAAGCAGGTCGTCGACGGAGAAGTCGTCTCCGCCGCTGCCAACGGCCGTGAATTCACCTTCCGGCTGGCAGTGGGTCGTCTCCGGCACAATACAGCTCCTCAGAGCGCACTCCATGCCCTGCCCAACATTGCCAAAACCGTAAAAAGGAAACCGACGACGACATTAAAGAAAACAAAATTGAATTCACAGCAAGGACATAACGGGTACCTTGAGAGAGGAGGAAGGCGGCGGCGGCGGCGGCGGAGGTAGGGATAAGTGGGAGGAGGAGAAGGTGAAAGGGGAGAATAGAGAGTGGGGTTGCGTTCGGTAAAGCATTGAATGAGAGAGATAGAGAAGAGAAAGAAAGAAAGAGAGAAGAGTCCCGTGCCCGAAAAACAATTACTTTCTGCACCGCATTATTATTAAAACCAGACCAGAGCCACGCTTTTCTTTCTTTTTTCCTTGTGATTCCTCCTTCCTCTATTGCGTACTCGTTTTTAGCTTTTAGGTACATTACATTACATCTATGTGTAAAAATTACTCCTTCATTTCATCTTTTAAAAAAATAAAAAATAAAAATTTTTATGATTTAATTTTCATTAAATTTAAGAAAGTTGTTGAAAATATTTTTCCCGACTCTCCGTAGGAGCTCGGTATGACCGGTACTTTTGTTGGGAAATCCTCGTAATCCCTGCACCTAACAAAAATCTAAGGATGAACCAATATATAATAGTTCGACCCAATTTTTTAGAAATTTGAATAAAAGCGATCAATAACATACTAAAGCGGAGATGACTAATAGTAGAGACAAAGTGTTTATGGTTTTAGAAATCAAGAATGTGTCCACTTTGCTGAAGGAGAGAGATTATGCTTTAAAAACACACTTCAATCTTGTTAATTATGATATATAATTAGCTCTTCAAATTACAATACACATGATGTTACACTAAAAAATACACAAAATTACGACTAATCACGCAAGTATCTCGTGCCTCGGTCTCCTTCACCTACATGCAATTACAATACATTTTTGTGTGGGCTGCCTCACTTTCGGCCCATACCCTTTTCCAAATGGACATAGTCTCACTTTTCTACTAGGTGCTCAAATCCCTCTCAGATGAGCTTTCCTTACTGATAATCAAACGTTGACATTACGAGTCCTAATACAATTGCCTATATGCATGCATATATGAAATGTGTATTACTCTGTGTAAGTCATTAACAAACAATTACAAGTCCGTTAGTAAATTATAGCTAGTACAATAAAACTCATATTACAACAAGTAAAATGCGATTAATTTTACAAACGCGTTCATGTTTTAATGCCTTATGACTTATAAAAATACCATATAATATCAGTTTTATTTCAATCAATTAATGCCTTCATGTTTGTTCATTTAGGAAGGGGAAAACAAAAACTTTGATGTGTGTGGAGATTTATTTGGTTAAATTTTACTTAAAATATCTAATTAAGGGGGTGAGAATTTTTATAACATATGACTTGTCAATGGGGTCCAACCCATCCCAAATGTGGAATGCCTAACCAAGTTTTGAAAAAAATAGAAAGCGCCATATTTGATTTTTGAGAAGATTTGGGCTTTTGCGTGAATTAGGATATTGGCCCCATACTTTTAGACAAATTACGTGACCTATCTGCCACCGCTTTGGTCGCCTCGCCGCTCCTTCTTTATTCCATTCCTCACCCCTTTTCCCGCTCTTGCATTTCTAAATTTCCCAAACGTCCCTTTCATAAATGACTAACATATACTACTTCCGTCACACTCTCTTTATCCACTTCTGACTTTTGGAACTGTTTATTTAAACACTTTAACTCATCAAATTCTCTCAATGTGTAAACCTAAATATAGTCATGTGTGATCTTGTTTGATTTATCTTAACATATAGATTATTAATATGGATTGAAGAAGTGCATTGGATGATGTGCCAAAAGGTAAGTGGATAAAGAGAGTGGGACGGAGGGAGTATTGAGGGTATATTTACACTTTCACCTCATTATCTCTTCAATCATTACACCCTTTGTTCGGTTGTTCCTATATACCCCCTAATTGTTTTGTTCATTTTTTGAATGACTAATACTATTTTTTAAAATAATTTAACAAAAAATATTTAAAATAACACATTGAAAGTAATTTTCGATACCAATAATTTGGTATAATTTTATATTTTAATTCACTGTATATTTTTATACTCCCTCTGTCCTATATCTTTCTTCTCGTTGCGCAAAACAAAGAAAAATCCTAAGTTTTTTCAATCTATTTTATTTAAATATTGGCAGAGAAATAAAAAATAAAATATACATATTTAAAAACTACATCAAAAGTTCAACAAAACAAGTGGTGACAAGAATATTTTATTTTATCATATAGATCATGAAAAAACACAAATAAATATAAATTCTCCTGAAGTTGGAATAGTGCTCTGGGAAGAAAGTTTTAGGACAGAGGGAGTACATAGTTAATCAAATGTTTGACAAACAAAACGAAATGGACATTTAAATAAGAGTAACTCCTTTTATTTTGTTTACACATTTAATGTTTTAATTATAGTTCCGTCATCCTAAAACTTTCTCCCCAATTCAATTTACAAGATTCGACTGAAATTATTTTTAATTTAACTTATTTGATTATAGGGGTAAAATTAAAATATAAATACTATATATTTAAAAGTTACATAAAAAATTCTACATAACAAGCGGTCATGACATGACTATTTTGTTTTATCAAATAACTAACGGAAATAAGTAAAAATTACAAGCGAAATTAAGTAAATAAAAAGTGATTGATGTTTGACCATGTAAATAGTGTTTGGGAAAAAGATTCAGAACGGAGGAGGTACTCCGTATTACTTTTCCTTTTTGACTATACAATTTACTTTTCTCATCCCACAATTGATTACAATTTTCTTTCTCTCATATCTCGATAATTTTTGTTTACTTTTATGTTTTCATTGATTATTTGATAAAATAAAATATTTTTGTCACATCTTATTTTGTAGATTTTTTTTTGAAATTTTTAAATAAGTAAGTTTTAGTTTTTATTAGTATACCAATTTCTATATAAAATAATTTTAAAAAATATGAGTTTTCACCTCGTAATTCTAACATTGTAATCAAAATTGGAAAAAAGAAAATACTTTTTATGTTTCTAGAAACACAAACATAAATTTTTTTATTGAGTTGATTTTTGGAAGACAAATTCTATTGTAATCTTTAGGTCAATGATCATTACATGGACTTAATACATTAAATGGTTATATGTGTTGGGTCTTGTAAATAAAATATATAACTATAAACCCATACAAAATATTTGAGAATGTCTATATTTCACATATGGATATTAAGACCACAATAATAGAGTTTTATATGCTAATACTTGCTAAATTAGAGATCACGAGTTTGAATATCATCAACAATTTAACAAAAAATCACGTAAAACTTGGAGCAAAATTTATTCTCGCATATATGTGAGGGGATGCATTGGAGGATAAAAAATTTATTGACCATGAACGAGAAATTTATAAGTATAAACTTGTAGTTGCTTGTATGTTTGGAACAAAGTTTAATGTCACTCATAACGCACGTCAACATTATTTTAAAAAAGTTTCTGATCGTGAATTTCAAACTCATAAGGCTTTGATATCATATTAAAATATCAACGTAATAGAAAATTCAAACTTATGGTCATAAAGATTTGATTATATATGGAGCATTTTATTTTAACTATTCATCGAACAAGAACCTAATAAACGTGCATGTCGTACCCTATGAAGACATTTTATTAGTTTCTTTTTCCAAAATTTAAAACTAAATTAGTCTTTTCCACCAAGGAATTTAACAAAGGGCATTCATGCAATGTATATATATGTTGAGGAAAAGAGTGAAGGGCTCCGAGACAAGGGAATCAATTCAAATAACCAAAAAGTCCAACATGCTATAGGGATACCTCCCCTCTTTGTGAACTTGTCTACTTGTCCTCTCACAATGGTCTTAATTAACTTAGGGGATAAAACATCTACAATTATAATGGACTAATAAATACTACCTTTCTTCCATAAAATTTCCCATTTTGAAAAACAAGGGAGGATATAAATGTTTGAATGTGTAATTTTAGTTTAATGTCTAATTGCACATTTACTTTGTACTCCTTTCGTCCCTAGAAAAGTTACATGTTAACCATTATTACGGTTTACCTCTCGATAACTCTTATTTGTTTGCATGTTTTTATTGATTGATAAAATAAAATATTATTGTCACCCCTAGTTTTGTATTGTTTTTTTATGTCGTTTTTAAATATAAATTTTTTATTTTGTTACGAATTTGTAAATAAAATCATTTTAAAAGTCACGTAGTTTTGCACGCGCGTTCATCAAAGAAAGAGATTCTTTAATGACCGAGGGAGTATTAGATAGGATATAATGTGATGACAAGATGAATTGTAGATAAATATGATGTGATATGTAGCTCAATAATTAGTCGTGTAAAAAAGATATTTTAATTAAAAATTGATATGTAGGCCACACTCTAACAATAATTAGATTTTGTAGTATTTGAAATCTTTAAAAAAAACTCACCCGTCACTCGTATAAGTTACATCGTTTAACAATGGTTCATTTTCATTATTTTTTACGTTCAGAATCTTGATTTGAATTTTATTAACAAAATACCATAAGAGAGTAACACTAACAATAGATTCTCCCACATTGGAACATACTTCCAAAGCACACGAAATTCAAATAATTGGCGAAGAAGTCAATTACAAAGTTTCAATGGCGTATGAGCAAAGGGCCCATTGGCTCTTAAATTAGTATGAAACTAGTAAGCTTATCTTCCATTTCTTCTTTGTAATTTCAACCCATTGAGACTTTTTGTACTCATGGGCATTTGGCGTTATCAATACACACTATAGCTAGCTTAGTACTCTTAATTAAGCAGATTATGATTTCTCGATAACATTTGTTTGTTTTTATATATTTATTAATCATTTGATAAAATAAAATATTATTGTACCTCTAATTTTATAGAATTTTTTATGGACTTTTAAATGATGTAATTTATAATTTTTATCTGTAACTATTTTGTAATTAAAATAATCTTAAAAATGATAAGATTTTGTACGTTGATTTGAGTATGGTATCCAAAATGAGACGGAGGCATTATATAGAATAAATTCTTGTCTACCTTATCTGGCTTGGGCTCGTCATTTGATGCATAGTTCCCCCATTTGGGAACCGATGAAGTATTTATACGAGTACTTTGTATTACACTACTTTCCCCAACTATTTGTCAAATTCAATTTTTTATTATTAAATTAAATAAATTTTGAACATCAATTAAATAATAATTACATAACATGCTAGTTATTAAAAAAATGATTCAAAAATATATATTTTTAAAAAATTCAAAAAATACTTTTATTTTATTAATATACAATGTTTTAAATTCAAAAAAGAAGTTTTTATTTAATGTATGATCAAAATATTTCTAACTTGATTGCAAAAAGTTAAACTCGATAACCCCATTATATTGGGACATATGAAGGAGGGAGTATAATTCAATTTTTGTTTTTGTTATATATAAAATATAAAATTTAATTTAAATTCAACTTAATTTTCAAATAAATTAAATATAAAATAATTTCGGTCAAATATCATAAACCAAACCAACTTTTCTTTATGGTACAAAGGAAGTACTTTTGTTTACGGCGGGGGTAGTTTACTATTTTCGTCTCTCTGAGATATTCAAGTTCAACACATAAAGTTTTTGGTGAAGTTTTACCAATTAAGTTTACATAACAATATAAAAAATTAAATATAATAAAATTCTTTTTGTACCAATATCTAATATTAATTTTATTGAATTAATGATCAATAGTTGTCAATTTTAACTACAAAAAAATAAAATGGGATAAATATTCTAAAATGATGGCATTTGAAATGTGAGAATTCCATAATCCTATATGAGTTAAAGGAGGACTGAATTTGAATAAGGCCATTTCTTAATTATCACATGTTTGTTCATTATGATAGGCAACAACACAATTGAGGACATTTTGCATGCCTTTCAAGCAAAGAGTTGGAAAGTTGATTGTGCCCCTATCACTTTTGCCTCCATATTTCCACACTAATGATTTTCCTCCTTAGCCCCCATAAAATAAGTTGCAACAAATAGAGAAAAAAAAAGAAAGTAACCCTTGCAGTAAACTCTTATTGCAAAGTTGCAAGTTATAAGAGTATTTTTGGAACCCACTACAGTCATTATTGTGCTCCATTATTGCTCCTATCAATTTCTTTCATTTTTATGTTTTTGGAAGGCACACTTTCCATGGAAGAAAATGAGTAGGATTTTGAAAGTTTTTTTTAATGGAAGTTGATGGGCATTACATGTTACATAAACACTTATATAAAAAATTATGATCCTTAATTACTCTATATGTGTAATTAGAGAAAAGACATGTACATCTATTAGTTAGATTATGTACTTTGGAGTTATTGAGCTTTGTAACAAAAACCATCACATCTTCCTATAAAATCTTATTATTCAGGGAAAAATAAAGAGAAAAGAGTTGAAAAAAGGAAGGACAGGAAATGAGACGGATTTTTAATTTCAATAGATAAGTTATGGAAAAATGAAAATGAGAAAGGAAAGAAAGTAGAATAAAATGACAATTTTATCCTTATATTATAAATATGATCGCTTATATTTATACTCCGTAACACTTTCTTATAGAAAAATTTGAATATTACAGAATATTAGATAATAATAAAAATAATTACTATTCTTATAAACTTAGCGAGTATTGTTTGAAAAATCATGGTGGGGTTCTAGAGCCACTCAATTTAAGTGGTTTCGAAAGACTCAACTCAATTGGGACTCTTACCATGCTTTGTTCACAAAATTGGTAAATCCTCCCACCCAGTTCCAGCCTGAATCCATCCCCCACCCTAGTCAATTGCACCATACAAGTTTGGTTGACTTTGAGATTAATTAAAATATTTAGATCCAAAGTCAACTAAATTTGTGAAGTGCAATTGGCATGGTGTGAGGATGGATTCAGATTGAGACTAGGTGAGAATTTATCGCATTTTAGGAAGTCAGAAACTATCATTTTTTACAAACATAAAACGGTAGAGGAACAATGTCTACCGTAACCTTACAAAATGAGTGGTCATGGAACTGGGTCATTTGAATCTTTAATAAGAGAAAACACCAAAAAGAGTAGATGCAGAAAATTGGGGCAATAGCAGGTGAGAAGAGGCTAGGGGCATTATAGGAAATCAAAATACTCCGTACAATGCAATGCTTCCATCATTTTTCGTTCAAAACCTTGGGGTGTAAGCTTTTATACTACTACCTAGTCTACTACAATGTGATTCCATTACATGATGAATGCTTTATTGGTGTACCAAGGGTGCACATTAAATTGCCAAACATAGTGTTGTTTGGCGGTAATCTCAACGTCCCTGCGATGATGCAAAATTTGACATGCTCAGATCCGTATGAAATCATGAACTCTCCATGTCTGGTTCAGGGCAAGGTTCCACACTAACCAAAATCCAAGTGAAGACGCGTTTCTTGATGCCGCCGGCTCCCCTCTGCCTTTATTCTAGGCGGCTTAGGTTCGATTATATTACCTCGTATTGCTTTCTGTTCATGTATGCTTGTAAACAGAAACCGCACCAGTTTTTTTTATTCTCATCAATCTCTTTGAACACCAGGTGTTCGATAGAATGCTAAGACGAGGACTTTAGAAAGCTGCCAAGGTACATATGTATGTCTCCTTGTTTTACTCCTTCGAGATTTCTCCTTGTCTTTCCAATAGCTGCAATGATCATGCCCATGATTACAAGATTGACAAATAGGCCAGTGAGGTTAGATTTGGGCTCGTTACTTTTGGATTCAGATTACAGGCCCTGTTTGGCATCTGCGTTAGTGATTAACGTTAGCGGTTTGAAAAGGTTTTCCGACGGTAGTCTTTAGCGTCAGCGTTTTTGTTTTTAGAATTAATCTAACGCTAATCGAAAATGTTGTTCCCAAACAAGGCCTACTTCAATTTCAGTTTAGTTCATGCCCATGAGTATAGAAGCAGTTTTTAGTTCTGAAGAAAAGGGATAAGTAGATACTCCGTAATATTTAGTTCCGAAGAAAAGGGATATGAATATTAAAGAAGGTGCTCTTATCATGTGTTGAAATCGATCTTTGGAAGAAACAAGCCAAAGTCATATAAGAAAACAATATACCGAATGAACTTGGGAAACGAATCAACGTAAAAATTACATGATTTGTTGCAATGTACATTATATGGGGAAGACTTGGCAAGTTTTAGTTGTAGAAATTTTGGTTATGGGTGCTTGCGAAAATCTTATCTCCGAATTATACCAAACAGTATGAACATTTGCAGCCCTATGACATTAGGTATGATCCTGGCAGTATTAAGGAATTTGGGGACATGATCAATTTAAAGTTTGATGGTACTAAACGAAAAGAAGTTCTAGCAGCCTGGGCGATTGGATGCTATGGTGTTTGGAGAGCTCGAAATGGGGTTATTCACCAGAAGACTATCACCGAGCAGAATACCATAGATTATATTAACTTTACTTTAAATAGCTATATCAATTTCAAGAGAATAAAACCAGCTAGTAAGTAGTATGTTATCTTGACTAGTTGTGGATGTGATGTACTAAACAGGTTGCTTGGAAATGATATATATATGTGCTTTTGTTCAAAAAAAAAAACAGTATGAACATTTGTAAACACTGAAAGACTAGATATTGAAAATGATAGTAGATTATTAGAAATATTATGTGTACGAAAATCATGAAAATATGAGAGCTATCATTAGAATATTACTCTGTAAAATATTCTTCCAATGAAAACAATAGACGAAAATCCAATTTTTTCCTCCCACACTATTTTACTACCACTACTATTTTTCTCATTCTCTCACACTCTTCCCTTCTCACTCTTCATTCATTATTTCTATCCCCTAGACCCTAACTAACCAACCAAGGCATTAGATTGTGCAAGGAGGAAGTGGGGATCCACACAAGCCAGGGTTCCCCAGAAAGGCCTCCTTGGGTATATTTGCTTTGTGAGCAGGGATTTCCCCACTCAGTCTGTTCCTAGAAACATCAAACTCTTTTAGAGATTCAAGATTCATCACCTCCTCTGGTATTGTACCGTTGAACTTGTTGCCTGAAAGCACTATTGTCTCCAGAATTGTAGCGTTCCCAAGAGCTTTTGGAATTCTCCCTTCTATCTGATTGTTTGATAATCTAAGGGACTGTAGTGAATTCAGAGCACAATAAAGTCCATCTACAATCTCTCCCAATCCTCCAGAAAATTGGTTATCTGAGAGATCTATGGAGTAGTATACTCCAAATATCGTGCCACATGATTTGTTGAATATGTTGTTCGTATCCCCAGAAAGGTTGTTTGAATGGAGATCAAGATCCATCAGCCTTGAAAGATATTTAAATTCATCTGGAATTTTCGAGTAAAACCCATTGTTTGATAGATTCAGCAAGTTTAACTCTGTCATGTTACCAATCCAAGAAGGGATTTTTCCAGTCATTCCATTGTTCGATAAATCTAGCCTTGTAAGTGATGAAGAAGCCAGCCAGTTGGGAAGCTCCCCTTTGATCCCAGTTCCTGCTAAAAAAAGAGACCCAACTTTCATTGAAGAAATCCACTCCGGAATGGCCTGGAGATTGAGAGATGGGTTGAATGAGAGATCCAAATATACTAATGATGGCATGCTTCCCAACTTGGCAGGGATCTTGCCACTGAGTTGGTTTCTTGACAGTTCCATATTCGTGAGGTTGCGAAGATTGGCAAAAGTCTCTGGGATCTCTCCAGTAAAGCGATTATTGGAGAGGGCTAGAAAAATGAGACTGGAGAGGCGGCCAATAGATTCCGGGAGATTCCCTGTGAGATTGTTGGTGCCAAGAGACAGAGTTGTCAGCTTTTTAAGGTCTCCAATGGCCGGTGGGATCGTCCCCGTCAGCGTATTGTTTTCAAAATCAAGCTGCTCTAGTGAGGTCAAGTTTGTAATTGATGGAGGAATGGGACCACTCAGTCTGTTCGAGTACAGCCATAGCACCCTTAACTCCTGAAGATTCCCTATAGAGCTTGGAATTCTTCCACTGAATCTGTTCCCTCCCAATGCAAGAAGCCTGAGCTTCTCGAGCCTCCCGATGGAATCCGGGATGGAACCCGACAAGTTCTGGCGATCGCGAAGGTCCAGTTCCGAGACCCGGCCTGTTTGGTTGTCGCATGTGATGCCCTCCCATTGGAGGCAGCAGTCTGTGGAAGGAGTCCAATTCTGGACCATCTTTTGGGGATCCTCTGTGATGCTCTTCTTCAAGTCCAGTAGGGCCTCTTGGTCTACTGGATGGCATGCTTCTACTTCTAATAATAATGGAGAACTGAAAGAAAGGTAGATGATGATGATGGTGGCCATCATGATGAAGGGCACTTCCTTCTTCCGGCAGAGAATTCCCATTTTGCTCAAAACAAATAATAAAAAAATTTAAAAATAAAAATAAAAAGAGTGGAGGTATTTGGATCTGTAGAAGTTGTTTAGGGAAAAATCATGAACGTGTATTGGGGATATTCACATAGAAACAATGTTTATATACAGACCATAAATGATTCACAAGGAAACTAGCTTAACCATAGTAACAAAATATTACCTTATATAAAGATACCCTAAAATAAAGGATTTAAAAAATAAACATGATTTACACCATTAATAGAATACATACATCCATGCATATAATAATAACATTAATAATAATAATTTTAGAAATAGTCTGTTCCAGTGAGATACTTTCTTATTTATCCCGATCTTGTTTCATTTTAAATTGGTTCTGAACAAATTGTTGTTGTCCGAATGATACATTTTAATGATGGGTGCGTGAGGTAAGAAGGATAAGGAACTATTGATTTTACGAACGAAATAATGTCCTCTTGCTCATTAAAATGGAAGCTTCTTAATTTAACCAAACCAACCCAACCCAAACATATTGTTCTTTTGGTAGTCATTCCGAAAAGCTTAATTCTGCAATTCCAACATCTCTGCGATTGTGAGGTTTCAAATTTTGACTTGCCCAGGGTATGCTCAACGCCGTTCCCATTGCATCCAGCTCCAAGCCGCATGAAATCATGAGCTCCCTATGTCTAGCTCATGGGAAGATTACATACTCGCCTCTCACAATGTTCCATTACAAAGAAACTACTTTGCCCACCAGGTGTTTGATATAATGCTAAGGCGAGCACTTTAGAAACTCGAAGCCGTGAAGGTGCATATATATTTCATTGTTTTACTCCTTTGAGATTTTTCCTTGTCTTTCCAATAGTTGCAATGATCATGAGGGGTTAGATTTGGGCTCGTTACTTTTGGATTCAGATTAGTTCAATTTCAGTTTAGTCCATGCCCTTAAAGAAGCAGCTTTGCTGAGCACAACTTGGCCAAACAATATTGAAATAAAAATTTCATACAAGTGCTTATGGAATAGTGAACGGGATGGACTGTGAGTTGATACACCGTAATATCTAGTTCTGACGGAACGGGATAAAAATAGTACAAGAATGTGTTAAAAACCAAATGTGACATAAAAATCACATTTGATGAAATAATGCACTTATAAAAATAATAACAAGCTTTCCGAGATACTCTTATACTACGTACTACGTGTGTGTTAAATTGATATTAGGAATATACAAGCCAAAGTCATAAGAAATAAATAAACCAAATAAAGTAGGGAAAAGAATAAACTTATAAATTACATAACCTGTTGCAATGTCATTGTATGGGGAAGCCTTTGGAGGTTTTAATTGTAGACATTTTGGTTATGGGTTCTTGTAAAAATCTTATCTCCAAATTATACCATACAGTTTGAACATTTGTAAGGATTGGAAGACTAGATATTGAAAATCATAGTAGATTATTAGAAAAACTGTGGGAGAGCTATTACTTGTATAACAACAACAGCAGCAACCCACTTGAATCCCACAAGAGGTCTAGGGAGGGTGTGTGTATGAAAATCAAGAAAATGTGTGAGATAGTATAAAAATATTACTGTAAAATGTTCTTCCAATGGAAACAATACACGAAAATCCAATTCTTTTCTCCCATAATATTTTATTGCTAATTTGCTACTACTGCCACTACTACTTTTCTCATTCTCTCACACTCTTTCCTTCTAACTCTTTCCTCATTATTTCTACCCCATAGGCCCTAACTAACAAACCAAGCCATTAGAGTTTGCAAGGAGGAAGAGGAGACCCACACAAGCCAGGGTTCCCCAAAAACGCTTCCTTGGAAATATTTGCTTTGTGGGCAGGGATTTCCCCACTTAATCTATTTCTAGAAACATCAAACTCTTCTAGAAATTCAAGATTTATCACCTCCTCTGGTATTGTACCGCTGAACTTGTTGCCTGAAAGCATTATTGTCCTCAGCCATTTAAAATTCCCAAGAGATTTTGGAATCCTCCCTCCTAACTGATTGTTTGATAATCTCAGGGAATCTAACATAGACAGAAATTCTCCATCTCCTACTATCTCTTCTAGTTCTCCAGAAAATTGGTTATCTGAGAGATCTATGGAGTAGTATTGTGCCTCAAGGTTCTTGAATAGGATATTTATATCCCCAGAAAGGTTGTTGGCGTGAAGATCCAGAAATGTCAGCGACGAAAGATTTCTGAATTCATCTGGAATTTTTGAGGAAAACCCATTGTTTGATAGATTCAACGAGTGTAAATATGTCATGTTACCGATCCAAGAAGGGATTTTTCCAGTCATTGCATTGTTTGATAAATCTAGATCTGAAATTGATTAAGAAGCCAACCAGTCGGGAAGCTCCCCTTTGATCCCAGTTTTGGCTAACAAGAGAACCTGAATTTTCAGTGACGAAACCCACTTTGGAATGGCCTGGAGATTAAGAGATGGATTGAATGAGAGATCCAAGGTATTTAATGATTGCAGGTTTTGCAGCTGGGGAGTGATCTTGCCGCTGAGTTGGTTTCTTGACAGGGAGATTAACCGGAGGTTGTGAAGATCGCCAATAGATTCCGGGAGATTCCCTGTGAGATTGTTGTTGTTAAGATACAGAGTTGTCAGCTTTTTAAGGTCTCCAATGGCCGATGGGATCGTCCCCGTCAGCGTATTGTTTTGTAAGTCAAGGTCAACCAGTGAGGTCAAGTTTGATATTGATGGAGGAATGGGCCCACTCAGTCTGTTCGAATACAGCCTTAGCACCCTTAACTCCCGAAGATTCCCTATAGAGCTTGGAATTCTCCCACTGAATCTGTTCTCCCCCAATCCAAGAAACTGGAGCTTCTCGAGCCTCCCAATGGAATCTGGGATGGGACCCGACAATTTCTGGAGTCTGCTAAGGTCAAGTTTTTTGAGGAAAGTCAGGTTTCCAATTGAAGGTGGGATGGTCCCAGACATGTTGGGGAAGGGCCCAATGTCCACGGACAAAACAGAGACCCGACCTGTTGGGGGGTCGCATCGGATTCCCTTCCAGAGGCAGCAGTCTGTGGAGGGTGTCCATGTCGGGAAATTCTGTTCGGGATGGTCTGTGATGCTGTGCTTGAGGTCCAGTAGGGCCTCTTGGTCTACTTGATGGCATGCTTCTACTTCTAAAGAAAGGTAGATGATGATGGTGGCCATGATGATGCAGGACACTCCCTTCTTCTGGGAGAGAGTTCCCATTTCTGTAAAGAAAAAAAAAGTGGAGGAATTTGGATCTCTGAAAATAGGTACGGAGTACAGTTTAGGGAAAAATCATGAACGTGTATTGATATTCACTTAGAACGTGTTTATATACATCCCCAAAATGCCTAAGAAGGAAACTAGCTTAAGGAGAGTAATAAAATATTGCCTTATGCCAATACCCTTAAATAAAAGATTTACAAAATAAACATGATTTATACCATAAATAGAATATACTCATATATTTGTCAGAATGCCAAAATGAACTCGTTTAAAGCCTTGACTGTGAGTATGTGATATGGCCTATGTTTGAAAAACGGCTCTTCGGATAGTATTTGGTATCTTTGACTGACTTTAACATTTTTGACTTTTTCACTTAGCTCTTTGGTCCGAAAAACAAATATCTAAAAAGCCAAGGAAAGTAGCTTTTAGACTTGACTCTTAAGAAGATTAATTATATTTTCATTTTTCTTTATAGATATTTATTAATATAAGTAAATATTATTTACTTTTTTTTCTCTATTTTTGTTAGTCATTGATAAAATAACATAGTCATGTCACCACTAGTTTTGTAAATCCTATGATGTAGTTTTCAAATATGTAATTTCAATTTTTTAAATCTACATTGTTTTTCATATAAATTAATTTGAAAATAACTTCAGTCAAACATCGTAAACTGAAATAGACATTTAAATTGAAATGGTGGGGATATTTTTCAACACCAAAAAAATAAGTACTTAAAAACACATTTTGGAATTTGGACGGACTTAATTTTTATTATCAGAATTACCCCATAAAGATGGTTTAAAATGAACATAAACAAGGGGTAAAAATTTATGCTAATATGAACCCATTCTGTATTTTAAAGGAAAAATTTATAGATGTACTTCAACAAATTTTCGATTTTACAAAATACTTCGGAAATCATCTAATTATACACTTACTCTCAGAATTGTTCTCTTTAAATGGATTTTTAAAGGGATGATTTGAAAAAATTACTTTTATTTAGTTTTCATAAAAAATACTCCCTTTGGCCACTAATTTCTTTCGCACTTTATTTTTTGGACTGTTCAAAAATTTCTTTTCCGTTTCTAATTTTGTAAAAAACTTTTAATGAATGTACCATTATATCTTTACTTTTTTCCCTACACTCTTTACTTTATTTCATCACTTCAAGGTCAACACATGGAAACTCTACACTTTTTAATTTTAATTAATTTCTGCGCCAAGTCGAACTAGGAAAGAAATTTTTGGACGGTGGGAGTAAATTACTTATTCCTCCTCCAACTCGAATATCAATCACGTCTCTCACAATTAGGGCATGTCATTTTTGTTCAAAATTCTAAAGTTGAATGTTGAAAGAAACTATAAAAGGTTGAAAAGAGTTTGAAGAAGTTACAAAAAGTTGGAAGTTAATTTTTTCAATCCAAAAGAACAAATATTTAAAGTGGGAGCTTGATGTTGTGTTGGAGGAAAAATATGTAATTTATTTTTTTGTATGAAAACTAGTGATTTATTTTTCAAGTCATCACTTTAAAAAGTAATGTAGATATTACGCAATATGATCGTGCAAGTGAGATGACGGGCGGAAGGTTTTTTTCTGTAGAAATATAGCAATTGTGGTAGTAATAGTGTACTTAATTAATGTTTGGAATATTCTTGTAAAATTAGAGATTTTTCAAATATTGCTTTAAATTTTTCCTATTTTAGAAATATTTAGAAAAACATTCTTCATGTGGTAAGAATATAGTATATAAAAACTCAAATCAAATATGATATGTTGTCAATCCTTATAGGAGGCTAGAGAACTATTGATTTAAAAGAAATTTCTTTGAATATGAGTAAATGAAATTATCAAAATAGTAGTCTTAAATCTTTTAAGACTAAAATAAGAGGTTAATGATAGTGTGGTGTGTGTTGGCATTGTGATGAAAAAGTCATGACAATGTAATATTAGTGTGATCAGTCAACCATCGTGGATCCGTGGCGACGGATGGCAGTGTGGTGGTGATAATTTGACAGTTACAATGTGATAATGTGGTGAGTGTGACAGTGTAACAATGACCATGTAAACTCCTATTTTGGTCTTAAAAGATTGATGATTATATTTTGATATTTTCATAGTTTTTTATGCCTATCTAGGAGTTCTCGCTTGATATAATGTTCAAAACTCACTACCCACGCCCCCATGTATGACAATAGAGATGATTTTATACTTGCACAGACGATAATCGTTTATGTTGTCCATAGATGACTGTGTAGGTAGAGAATTGTGTGTATTATCCTACAGTGGAAGTGTGGGTGGGGTACTGTAGCCCGGTCCTAATCACTCATATTTAGGGGGCGTTTGGTTCATCAGGGGGAAGGGGAAGGAAACAAGAAAGGGGATTAGGGGGAAAGGAAATGGAAATCGAATTATGTTTG